TGTGTTTAATTGTGGATTTCTTTGGCGATTTGGTTTTTTGTTTGGACTTTGGATCAGTTACTACTTGTTTGACTCTGCTTTTGTTTTATGGACTTAATAATTTACGTGAGATTTTGATTTCGTTGATATCGGAGATCTATATTCTGTAGAATCACATTTTGAATCAGTAAGCAGGTATGTACTAAAGAAAGATGTTTCCTTAAGCATTTGAATGACATGCTTCTATCTGTAGTCTGTTAATAATTATTAATTTCTACATAAGTTCATAATGGCTGCAAAATCTTAATATGATGTAATTATCTTTCAGTTGACCTGTTAAAACATGCTACACTGTTTAAAATACGCTTCTGCAATATAGATAGTTTATTAAAATAAGATTGTTTTGTTCTAAATGGATGAAAATGCACCAATATGTTCACAATGTTTTGCAAACGTATAACAAGAATTATCTGTCGACACAAATCATGAAAATGAGCTCCAGCGCCCTAATGCCGATACTATCAGTATATTGTATGTTTGGTGTTAACGAAGACTGGATAGCAGATAAGTTGTGACCCAATTAATATCATCCCAACAAGACTGTTTAATAAGAGGCCGTATAAAATCTCGCCATCACTTTGGCAGAGCTTATTATACATAATATATACTGTTGGCGAGACAAGGGACAAGTTGGGATGAGATGATTGCAGGTTATTATTGCAGTTGCACTTCTGAACAACAGACAGTGGGTTGCTGTGCCCACATAATGACTGTTGTGTGATTGGGCTCGGTATCAAAATTCCATAACCGCACCAGCCTCAATTCTGAATGCCATTTTAGTAAGAGAAGACTTTAAAGTAGGATAAATAAATAAAAAAACAATTAAGCTGTTTTATTTATATTACCTTAAGTATCCAAACATGATTTACCTAATGTTTCACTTTCTATAGTTCATAGGACTGTTAACCTTTGTTATGACATTATCCAGGCTTTAAATGTCTGTCAAGGCTCAAGGCATACTCTGACACGCTGAGGACCTGTTATATGAAAATATTTGTACGCCGGAAACGGCAGAATATTTAGGATGCGAATTCTTTTATAACAACTGTAATATACCATATTATAACAAATAAATTATATTATCTATGATTGTACCCTAGCACTTCAGCAGCCTAAATAGACACATATACCTTAACAGAAATTAGTATTCAGGATTATTCTTTGTCCACCTTAAAACAGACACTCTAAGGTAAAGTAAGTTAAATATATTCTTTATTATTAGAGCAATAAAGTAGTATCTCAGTGTGGATTTTTTAGGGTAGAGAAACGAAGTTACCTGCTATTCACATAATATAATCTCGGCTTTGAGCTATCTGGCACTAAATTTTTGTAAAACTAACAATGACCTAGGCCTCATTTCCCCATATAAAACAAAAAAGTCCGGGATGCCCCTGGCACTGAAGTGTGCATTAGTACTAATGAATGCAATGAAATAATTATATGCGCGATTTATCTCAACAATCTTGTTGTCTGGAATTAGGTAGTACTTTTTACATTTGTTTTCTCCTGAACTGCATTTATGATATGCAAATATCAACAAGAACGTTAGTTGTTTTAAGACCAAAAAAGCACATACACAATCTATAATACACTTTACTCGTGTTTTGATAAAAAAACAACTTTTTTGCCTTACTTTCCTACTAGTTTCGAGACATTTTAGCTATTTTACATAATAAATCTACCTGATAGGCTATAGGTGTAGGGTTGCCATCTGTCCGGCTTTAGCCGGACATGGTTGGCTTTTTCGGGTTGTGTCCGGAGAAATGTTTGTGTCCGGCCTGTCCGGCTTTTGTTAGGCTTTTTGTTAGTGTAACACGTTGCACGCATCGCTTGCAGAATAAATAAATAAGTAACGTATACACTTGAAACTGTGCTGTGATTGATAAATAAACAATTAACGTATGTAACAGAGTATTTTAGTTTTTTTTCTCGGGGGGTTGGAGTTGGTGAGTTTTTAGCTACATGGCCTCAGAAAGGTATGTTTACCTCAATATTACTGTCCGGCTTTTAGGGCTAAAAATCCGGCTTTTTGGGGTGCCGAGTCCGGCTTTTTCATTTTAGGAGATGGTAACCCTATATAGGTGATATGAGTATGTTTCAGAGATGACAGCTAACATCAAATCAAAACGACATCAATCCGCCATTAGTGTTGCATTTTTTGGTGAGAATAAAATATTATTACCACTGAAATTAAGGCAAATTCGTGGATTTCAATGATCAAAAGTGGTTTAATATGTTATTTTAATTTATTTCCATACTAGTACAAAACTAGGTCTATGTGTTACGGCCTACGACTGCTCCCTTAAAGGTCAAATCCTCAGGGGCCCATTCAGCTGAATTTCGACGAGCAGACATAGGTCGGGCCTCCTCCAGGCCAAAGTGGAAAATCTCTAAATACACTAAACTATATGGGGGAGCGTTCTATACTACGGCCAGTCGACCGGGAGGATATTAGACGGAGCTTACTTACCTATATCCAAGGCGACTGGTCCCTCCGGAGTCGGTCAGGTCGCATGTGGTTGTGAAGTGCAAGGGAAATGTGCAAATGTGCAAAGGGAAAAAAACGGCAGTCAATTAAATATGACGATGTAAATAATGCTCTATCGAAACTAGTACATTGGTTTAACGCCAACAATTTGCTCTTAAACGGCAATAAGACAAAATGTATTAAATTTACAATACCTAATGTAAAACATTCGAAAACCAATGTGCTCTTAAATGGGGAGGAGTTGAGTCTTGTGGATACCACTGTTTTTCTCGGTATTACTATTGACGCGAAACTTCAATGGGGCCCCCATATATCTAAATTAGCAAGCAGACTTAGTTCTGCAGCATATGCTGTAAGAAAGATTAGAAGTCTCACAGATGTTGAGACAGCTAGGTTAGTGTATTTTAGTTACTTTCATAGCGTAATGTCTTATGGAATTTTGCTATGGGGTAATGCGACTGATATTGAAGCTATATTTGTTTTGCAAAAGAGAGCCGTACGGGCGATTTATAATCTAAATTGTAAAGAGTCCCTTAGAGAAAAATTTAAAGAAATAAACATATTAACTTTGGCATCGCAATATATTTATGAAAATGTAATGTATGTACATAAAAACATAAATAGCTTTAATAAGAATAAGGATGTTCATACCTTAAACACTAGGAACAAACATAAGCTTGTAATGCCACTTACAAGACTCCACAGAATTAGTAATTCATTTATGGGGCAATGTATACGCTTTTACAACAGAATCCCAGAACATGTTCAAAGTTTGTCAATAAACAAGTTTAAAAGTTTTATTAAAGAAAAACTGTACAAAAAGGGTTATTATAATATCAAGGAATACATGAATGAAAATAACCCCTGCGAATAAGGTGATCGCCACCATGCTGGTTCTATGAAAATTCATTTAAAATTGTATAAACAAAATTATTGTTAAGTGAAATTATGTTTAAAAAAAAGTCCCGCTGGGTTTCTTGCTGGTTCTTCCCAGGACAGAGGTATTTTCCGAACCAGTGGTAAATAAAATAATGACTTTCAATGAGTATTATGTAATAATCCATATTGAATAAAAATCATTCTATTCTATTCTATTCTAAATAAGGTGATGTGATGTGTATCTGGGTGTGACTGATGGTGATTGACCCTAGACCTTGGCCGTCAGCATCAGCCCGGGCGTCGATACCGCTCCAAATTGAGGGAACCTTCCGCGGCGTTGTCCACAGTCACTTTCCTCGTTCGTCACGATGACAGTCAATTAACTCTATCGTACGATTAACTAACTTACAGAAGCCACTAACTCTCGTTGGGTATAAGGTTAACGCACAAAACGCACACGGAGTGTCCGGATCAAAGGTCACTACCGTTTCGCGTAGCAACAGTTATTTCTAGAATATCAATGGCCGCACTAGCTAATATTGCCGAATGTACTTATGCAGATTCTGAGTCAGACACAATGAGTCCCTGGGAAGCTCTCCAGCAGGAATGCGCGTCACAAATCCTAGACCGTATATTTACTGGCCGCGCCTAATTATTCCGAGTTCCCGACAAAATTGACAGTGTGCTAACGTTAGCCCCGCTGACAGACGACTCACTGCACTCCGCGCGCTCGACACATCCAACTGTCAAAACCCGTATAGCACCGAGCAGCGCGCCCCCTAGACGTCGATTCCGACAACAGCGTTTGGCGCGAACACTATGCTTCATACAATTTTGGACCGTCTCCTTTGTTAAGTAGGAGGTGACAATTTTGATGACACAATGATGATGGCCTTTTGTTTGCTTTTAATTCAGATGTCAAAAAATTCCAGGTAACTCTACCGATAAACTTAAAAAAAGCTCTTGACTTAACTTTTTTAATTTTTCAAATATGTTAGTTCTATATCCGCAAAAATTATGATAGTGGCTTCTTTAAGATAAAAATCTTTTATTACTGCTATAAATTGTCTTCACGTGCAAGTAAGTTTATTTACACGAATAAAGCAATTGAATATTTATAATTAAAAACTATTAAATCAGGATATACTAAACTTATCATGATTCGTTTTTCAAATTTTTAATTTTTTTTTCGGGTTTTATTTTGGGAATTGATGATCTATGATCCTCTGCTTTCATATATACCTTATAAAAAGAGGTGAAATATTTGTTACCCAATATAAACATTAATTAAGAGTTCCACATTATTATTGGGCAGCCTCTAGAAAACTTAAAAAATATAGGTGGTAGATCTACTAACTTTTCAAAGTAGGATTGGTAGAATTAGGAAACTACCAACTTCTCATTCTTCTACCTCTGAGACAAACTTCGGGTTGATAATCTGACTAGTATACAGTTTGCTACATATTTATTTATCTATGGTATACAGTTATCTGTGTTGTAATGGTAACACTGCTCTAGGCCTCTAGGTATCCCTTTTCCGGTTATCTCTTTGGGTGGGTAACCGAGTTGCAAGAATTTTACGAAGTTTCTTAAAATGGTGAGCCAAAGTATATAAAATAAAGTTATGGTGTTGTTTTATCCTTATACGCACATTATATAAGATAGCATATTTTAGCCTATTATTGGTGATTCTAATATAATAAGTGGATAAGTTACTCATGACATGTTTGCGTAGTAATTTTACTTCATAACCTAATACTTTCTGTTGAAACATTAATGTATTTATCAGAGAAAGTTTTCTAAGTAATTTTGATCACTTAATGATTTCTTTTATTAATGTGCAAGTGCTATCATGATGATATACCGACACATGCGCGTCATCTGATGTCGCAGAAGATTTCAAAATAACTTGTTATGCCATGTTCTATGGTATAACACTGTCATTTTTGTTTTCGACTGCAGCGTTAATGATTTTATAGTGTCTCTGAAATGCTGTTCTATGTGCTAATTTCATAGTGTCCCAGCTTTGCCATTACCTACCAGTATTATTATTTTTAGGGTTTCGTGAAAGTAGTCAAGAACAAGCAGTACTTTAAAAGATACCAAGTCAAATTCAAGAGGCGCCGAGAAGGTAAAACTGACTACTACGCCCGCAAACGCCTCGTTGTTCAGGTATACTCATTTCTGTGTTTTGAATTCTATCATAAGTTGTGCTTTTTCCATCTAAATTATAATGGAAACATAACTCAATACTGTTTTGTTTATAGGACAAGAACAAATATAATACACCTAAGTATCGTCTCATTGTACGTCTGTCCAACAAAGATGTTACATGTCAAGTTGCCTATTCACGTATAGAGGGTGATCACATTGTTTGTGCAGCATACTCACATGAACTCCCTCAGTATGGTGTTAAAGTAAGTTAAATAATTATAAATCTTTGAACTTTAATAATGTACATTACATTGAAAAATACATTTGTGTACTGCCAATTTGTATATTTTTTCGGTAAATATGATTTTGATAAGCAATTAAAATAAAACAGAGCCATGGTGGCTCAGGGGTTAAATGCTCACACATTTTACAGAATATGAGTGACTTGGCTTTGATCCTTACAGGGTAAAATAAGATTAATTCTTGCAATTTTAAGTGCTGATTTACTAGGTGCTCGCTGGTGAAGGATAAAATTGTGAGAAAACCGGCAGGTCTGTTGAGAACACGCATTTGAGCAGCACAGTGAACATTTTCTTACCTTAAAACTCAGAAATGAGAGGAGGCTTTTACTTTCTTTACTTTACGAAAGTAAAACAAAGATTATGAATAAATTTAATATAATTATTTGATGCACAGTTATATTTCTAGTATATTAAAGTATGAATATTAAACAAAAAAGTGGATTTTATAATAAAAGTTTTTAAATTTGCAGTACACATTTATGAATTTTACACAAATTTTTTTTTTTTTTTTTTTATATAAGATAAGGGTGACAAACGAGCACACAGTCCACCTGATGGTAAGTGGTTGCTGCGGCCCATAGACATCTACATCTATCCTCGTTTGCGAATCAAAATGCAGATGCGTTGTCACCCGTGAGGACTAAGATGGAATGCCTCATTTCCAGTAAAAAGGGCCTCCGGCCACCTGCACTCACCAAGCGAAACGCAGAGGTAAACCTCTACTTCACGTTGGTATTCTGTGAGGTCGTGGTACCACCCCGGTTCGAGCCGGCCCATCCGTGCGACAGCAAAAGCCGCCGCGTGGCTCTACCACTGTTACAATAAGAGCAAACATGTTTCCTTATTTTTCCCAGTTTCAAGGGGTTTGCCCAAGTTTACCTTTACCAAGACAGGAGCAAGTTAATTTTTATTTATAATAAAGATCTTGTCTCTGTAATTTAGTGGTCTATGTTAGTATGTTTTGTAAGTGTTATATTGTATCTAGCTTATGACTTTACAGTATAGACAAATATAATTACACCTAAAAAATATAACCCATCTTCTAGACAGGACAGTGTGCTAATAACAATATTTTTATGATGATTATGAACGGGCGGTCTGAAGCATGTGTACAAAATGCAAATAATTCTGTTGCTATATGTTCAATACTGATTACAGTAAATTTAAGGTTTACTTCATTCTTAAAGTCGTTAAATATTTAAAACAAAGTTTTTGTAGGTAGGTCTTACTAATTATGCTGCTGCATACTGTACTGGATTGCTGCTGGCCAGACGCTTGCTTCAACGTTTGGGACTTGACTCTCTTTACACTGGCGCAACTGAAGTAACTGGCGACGAATACAATGTAGAACCAGTTGATAACGGGCCTGGAGCTTTTAGGTAAGCTTAGAGTTTAACAGTTGATTATAACAAACTATTTGATGTAACATTAAAAGAATTACTTAATGAAAAGCAAACATTGTAAACTTCTTCATCGGTCTGAGAAATTCCACTGCTGGCCATGGGTCTGTTGTGGCAAGGAGTATATGCCTTATTGTCATATTGACCAATGCCACATCTCACACCTTTGATGCTGTGAATGTGCATAGTGGATGCAGCACACTATCAAGGCAGTCATGAATTTAATGCAATACCAGGAAAACCATGAGAAATTAGTTTATGTAGATTATTGTGAATTGTATATGTAGGTAATTTTCAAAATTTTCATAGCAAGTGAAAATTTTCAAGGAAATTTTTTTGGATTATTTTTTAAATCAAAGCTAAAATGATGATAGCTAGTTAACGACGAGCTGTTTCTGCAACTGCACGTCTAAGCGCGTATTTTGTGTGTAGGCAGGAATAATGTGATTATTGCCATGAAATCTCCCCGAAGAAGTTCAACAGTCCTTTCATGTAGCAAGCAACTTCGGGGAGTCATTTCGGTGTGCCAAGATGTTTAGCCCTGTATGCAGCAACCTCTAGACAGATCAGCAACACATGGGCCGTCGTCTCTTCCTCCCCCATACATGCCTTGCACAGGGGACTATCTGTAACACCTATGCTAAATAAATGTTTGTTAAAGGTGCCATGTCCTGTTATAGCACTTGTTACTATCCTGATCTGCGGCTTGTTCAGTCTTATTATTTCTTTATTTATATTAGAAACCATGGTTAAACGACTGTTTATTTCAGGCAGGGCCTCCCTAGCTTGTCTAGTCTACTAGATTTCTCGAAAGCTGAGTGTCTTGATTAGTGAAGTGTCCTACATACCAAAGGGGATTGGTATGATTGGTTCCTAAGGTGGCCAGAGCCGATCCTCTTCTGGCCAGTTTGTTTCCTACATCATTGCCTCTGGATCCACTGTGTCCCTTTATCCATTGAAGAGTTACATTGTTGTGTTTACATACCTCATTTAATAGTTGATGGCATTCATATATTAGTCCCAAGTTCACCACATTGCAACTCAGAGCTTGTAGTACTATGCTACTGTTGGTCAGTATTGTGATGGAGAAGTCTTTAACCTTCCTAGCATCTATTGCTATGGTCACTTTAATTATACCCATACATTCCGCCTGAAAGACTGTGTTGTAGGTACTCAGTGATGTGCATATGTGGATATTGAGGTCTTCAGAGAAAGTTCCAGATCCTACACCTTCATTTGTTTTAGAACCATCGGTGAAGACTAAGCTTTTTTGGGCTTAATCATTCTGGCTGGCTGGTTTCGTTTAATTGTATCTTATACTTCTTATCGAATATAAGTTGTTTAGGGATGTTATTGTACTTTGCTTGTAAGATAGGAATTTTTTAGTGAATAGTAGAGTCCCTCATGCAGGCATAATTGATAGACAATTATGCCTGCATGAGGGACTCTACTCTTACTTCAAAGATTTAGGGTCTTGAGTCTAATGGCAGCTAAAGTCGCTTTTGTTGTATGTGTAGATGAAGCAGGGTTAGCTCCAGCATCACCCCTAAGGTTGCTGTTAGTGTAGTCCTTATGCAGTCTGTGGCAGCCATACATGCCAGTCTCTGGTAACGCTGAAGCTTTATAGTGGTGGGTTCATTTGTTTTGGTCCACCATACCAGAGCGGCATGTGCAATCATAGGCTGGATTATAGTTTTGTACAGCCACAGTATAATGTTTGGCATCAGACTCCATCTTTTGCCAATCTTGTTTCTGAATTGCCAGAAAGTTATACTAGCTTTGTTGATTTTCTACCGACTTCAAAAAGGAGGTGGTACTCAATTTTACTGTTTTCTTTTTGTATGTGTTACCTCATAACTTTTTACTGGGTGAACCAATTTCGATGGTTCTTTTTTTAATTGAAAGCTGGTGCTTCACATGTCCCATATAAATTGATCAAGTTTTGACCAATAGTTTTTGAGTTATTCTTAATAATTTATATTGAAGTTGGTTGTACAAAATTTTTAAAATTAAATTATGTTTTCTATGTGTTTATTCCAGTTGAGCTTACTGTCCAAAGTAAGACCTAAATATTTTACCCCAGAGGATAGCTAGAGTTTTGTGTTGAAAAGACTTGGGAGATGATAGTTATTCAGCATTGTAGCCTACCTACCTACTGTGTAGAAGTGATTGGCTTTGAGTTCATTAAAGACCATATTCCACAGAAGAGGTGAAAGAACCCCACCCTGTGGTCAGCCTTTCTTAATCTGGATTGTTTGGGAATCACCAGCAATCTTTATTGTTCATGTACTGAACATGTTTACTATCTAGTCAATCAGTGCCGGTTCAACTTTGTCTACTTAGTGAACCATGATATTTACCACAAAATATTTTTCTCATTATATATATTATGAATACAACCTATATATATAATATGTATAATATAAAATTTTTGGGTACAAAAATATTTTTATGATGATTCTTTACGGGCGGACTGAAAATATCTTTGATGTCAGCAAAATTTTGTACATTATTTACTGAGAGTATCAAATACTACAAAACAGTATTGTGGTAATTAATACTTATTTTCTGATACTCAATTTTGCCTATTTTTAGATGTTACCTAGATGTGGGTCTTGCTCGCACAACAACCGGAGCACGTGTATTTGGAGCCATGAAAGGTGCAGTTGATGGAGGTCTTAATGTTCCACACTCTATTAAGAGGTTCCCTGGATATGATGCAGAAGCTAAGAAGTTTAATGCAGAAGTACACAGGTATAACTTAGTTTAGCTTTTGTTATAAAATGTATGTAAAACACCTGGACAGGGTGTTCTAAATGGGTATGTGCCTAGCTACCGCAATAACCTTACAATAAAAAAATCTCATTATTGATTAATATAAAAATATTGATCAAAAACAAGGTTATTACAAAATTTTACTTGATATTATTAAATTAAAAAATCTGATATCTGTGACGGTATCTCTCAATGTGTGGTGGTAACAGTATCAGTAAAGGCAAAGGTATTCTCACCACACTCTCAAAAGCACAAACACAGCACATGTAAGCGTGATCAAATGAACCACTGGCAAGTGTAAGCTGTTATAACTTGTGCTTGTACTCCTTTTTTTCACCCTCTTAACTATTTCTGCCATCAAATAGCAGTGCTTGCACTTGCTAGTATGATTACAGGCTGTAAGGTATTCAATCTTAGTCCTCAGTAATGATTATACATCTATAGCCTTTTTTGTTTGTAGTTGGCTGCATGTGTCCATGAATTGTGTCAGCCACATCATTGTTTCTGTTTTTCTGCAGGGTAACTCTTTATTTATTCTTTGAAAATTATTAAATGAACTTATATCACGATAGCTCAAAGAACCCTCATGGATCCAACAGGCTTTTTTAACATATTTTATAGAAAATTGCTCCATTCATCCATCGAATAATAGAATATCTATTTATCGATCAGCCCAATGGGAGCTACAAAAATTGCAAGATTATTGGTTGTCATAAGAATATATTTTGTAGTTTCTTTAAACCGGTCTTGCATACAAAAGTTTTTGTCAGTATTGTTAATTCATATTTTGTGTTAATAAGTCTGATATCAGATGGACTGCATGTGTGTAGTCTGCATAAATATAATTGTAGTGAGATCTGACGATGTACAGCTTAGGCAAGGAGCTATGTACGTAATACAATGGTATGTAGAAACAGAAGCACACTTCTCTTTTTTGTCATAGAGCCTGTGGCATAACAGAAGCCAAAATGCCACATAACAGAAGCAAGCAGTATGGATATATTTAATACTATTATGTTCCACAACATATTTTATTACTACTACAGAATGTTTATTACTACTTTTGGTCAGTGAAACAATATTTTAAACAAATCAGAAGTTAGTGACAGTGTGTCACTAATATCTGAAATATCTTATATTCTGAACTTATAATTTCAAATGCTCAATTTTTATTAAAGAAACAAACATCAGTATTGGAATTCTCCATTATAAGTCAAAAATTGGAATATAAAGGTCAAATTCAACTGCATACTTAATGTATGTGGTCAAAAATTTAATGCATGTCTACCCTACACGACTGCAGACTGCGTGCAGTTCATGAGTGCATAAAAACTGGGTAATATTGCTTTTTCTGAATATCATATCGAAACTATATTTCGATATTTGATATCGGATTTCGAAACACTGTATTTTCTGAAACACTATATATATATATGACGTTATTATGCCGTTCTAGTATACCCTGATTTTTGACAAAGTGGATACTGACTCAATACTGGGCTACGTATGTACAGTATATATAGTGTATCCTACTATATGATACTTAGTGACTAGGTACTATTATAGTAACTAGAGTATGCACTATGTATTGTATACAATATAAATCTAAACTAATAGTCACCATTAATGGACTGTACTTCATACTTTTATCAGTTTAGGACTGCCTGAAATATTTTCGGTTTTGATAAAACGGTGTTTTATTGTTTAAATAGTTAATTAAGTGTGTATAAATGTAGATACACATACCGCCTTATTATAATAATGCTAGCGTATTTATCTGTATGTATTACACTATATACAATAGTTTAACAAATTTAAGCACTACAAAGTTAAAATAAGTTTTTTGTTTTATTTTTTACTAACTACTAAATATTTACATGTTTTACCTATTTAGAAGTTTGATACATTATTTAAATCTGTGTTTGTTAAGATTGACATTTGAAAATGCGAGTTAGTTTCAATTTCACTAAACTAATACCTATACAGGAACTACACACAAATTTACAGATTCATTAAATACACCGTTATAAATGAGTCACAAATTATTTTCTTAGCTACAAAATTATTATAAACGAGATTTTTTTCAGCATAATACAAAATAGGTACTTATATGTACACAAATAATTATTTACGCTAATAATGTCAGTCACAAAATTAAATTGTTTTATACCAAAATAACAAACTCTAAAACAAAATCAAATTATTAATTTCAAAACTTCCAAAACTAAGGAGGAACAAGAAATAAATGCGTTCACTCGATTGTTTTACCTCCATGAAACTAAAAATAGATTATTTCAAAAATACATAAATTTTCGCTCCTAATTTCTTTGCTCTCTCGTTGAAGGCCAAATGTTAACAAGTGCTACAACATACAAGTGCATTTCGATCATTACTACCCTTTGATTAAGAGTCAAAAGTTGAAATTTCATAAAACAATCGAGCCAAAAAATACCAAGAGAATTGAGTCTGCTCGGTATTCATTTCTGATATGGTATTGGTTGACTTCAGATTTCGATGCTACTGCGATACAATGTCGTCGCAAATCGCAATCGGCTGTTGGGTACAATGCAATTTGTATTTTTATTTATATAGGATAGGGTGACAAGCGAGCACACAGTCCACCTCATGGTAAGTGGTTGCTGTGGCCCATAGACATCTACATTTATCCTCGTTTGCGAATCAAAATGCAGATGCGTTGTCACTCGTGAGGACTAAGATGGAATGTCTCTTTTCCAGTAAAAAGGGTCCGGTTCTCTACACTCACCATACGAAACACAGCAGTGTTAAGCTGCTATTTTACGCTGGTATTCTGTGAGAGCGTGGTCCTTCCCTGGTCAAGCCGACCTATTTGTGCTACAACTATACTACTAATATAGCTGCAGCATGGCTCTACCATGTATGATATAGTGTAAATGCAATATAGTGTTTTGCCCAATATATAGTTTTTGGTCAGTTCGGTATCGGATATACAATATTGAAGCAATATATAGATTCAATAACTATATACGTTTTGTATCGCCCACTCCTAGATTGCATGCAGTTCAACGCGTTATCTGCACAGATGCATTCCCTCTGATATTAGCATGAAAGGATACTTCAAATAATATTTAGTTTGGAATCAAACTTATTTTACTGTATTTTATTTACGCTTGGGCTTGGATTTAATTTTATTATTACAGGACCCAATTATATTTTGCCTCATCCTATAGACAACAATACGACACGAAAGGACATTATTTTTATTTTCTTATAGGTCACACATATTTGGCCTACATGTTGCTGAATATATGCGCAACCTTGAACAAGAAGATGAGGACTCATTCAAGAGGCAATTCAGCAAATACATAAAGCTTGGTGTCAGTGCTGATGCAGTAAGTTTAATTAAATTATTAAATTTTGCTTACAGCATTGAGAGAGACCGCAGATTTACAACTATAAGTTGGCCGACTAAATTGCAGAGTATACCAATAGGTATAGTGACATATGCTAGCCCACACATCTTGTCCAACTAATTAATAGGACACCGATCGTATCAGAATCAAGATTCCCTTCCGATTACGCACAATTAAAAAGTTGTCCATATCTATTTATCGGCCAACTGCTCGTTAGCACGGGTACCCTATGCAAGCTCGCGGACTATCCAACTTTGTTGGTTAGTCGTACGGCAACATGCAAGACGAACCGACTCGCGCGCGTAATTTCCCCACGCTCGGACTTGTACCTTCGCCGACGGGTGCGACATCTGCCACCCGATCACTTATTGCAAACGAAAAAGTAGAAGAGCTCATAAATGAAATACAAAAAAGGCCAGCGTTGTAAAAAAAGTTCTTTTCAAAAAGGAAAATGTTCTCTTTTGTTTTCGTCTTCTTTTTATTATGAATGCAATTAGAGCGTTTTTTTCCGCATTATCACGCACACGCACCTCGCTAGCAACACTGTCACGGACTAAATCGATTAAGTCTGCGGCTGGTAACCAATAAAAGAAAGTTGGTCGATTAAATTACAAAAGTACGCAATTTAGTCGTTCAATAGTTGGCCAACTTACAATTGTATGTCTACGGGAGCTCTGAATCATCATGCTGATCACTTTTAACAATTTTTCTAAAAAGGAATTGTAACTAATAAGTAGTCAAATCTTAAACACTAAGGCACTGCGCAAACGTGAACACTTCTTGTTACTGACAGCACATTATAACCGTAGTCACTATGTCCGGTAGCGGCAATCGGACGCAGTCGCCAGTTGCTACTTCTGGTCACTGGTAACAATTCCTTGCTTATTTTCAGTCAGTTTCACCTTGGATGTTGATGGTGGAACATTACCTTTGCTTGTTGTGTTGATTACACATTGACGCAAATCAACCACGTCGATGTCAGCGCCGTATAATTGTACTATTATTATATTATTTTTATACAATATTATATTATTATACTATTATAATATTGTATTTGTAAGGAAATTTGCTTTGTGTTGGTTGTCTTCAACTGACGACTTAAACTTTCCAGTTACACCAAACACTTTTTGATTTGTGGTCGGTCACGTGGAAGCAACTGGACACAAAAAGTGTTTCATATTGATTACATAAAAATATTTATTGATAGCTTCTATCCCACACAAGAGAAAAGTGTCTAAGTTTGTGCAGCACCTAAATCAAAACATCTTTATCTTTGGGCCTTTTTCAATTTTTTTCAACTATTCCCATACTTCAAGGTTGTAAATGATGTGCCAAAAAAAAAACGCACGAGTTTATTTTAAGCAAGGTTGTGATTTTGATTTCATTCTCTCCACTAGCCCAGTTTAATATGTATATAGACATAGAGGCCAACTACCAATAGTGGAGTGGATAAGCCCCACTATGATTCTTGACTAAAATCATGCCATGAGGAGGGATAAATTTGACAAAAATTGTTTGATCTTCTTATGAAATCAAAAGACTTGTGCGCTTGGTCTATGGTATTTTATTATACAGAATCTCAAATATGGCTGGTGTAGCATACCTCTTACACATTGTAAAAAGATGACTTCCTACGATCTTTGCAAGAAAATTTGTTCTCCTTTGCTTAAATAAATGCTTTTACACTAAATAGTCCACCAAGAGTTTGAAGATATAAAGCGTTCACTGTAATGAATTCTCACTGACTTATTTACCTCCTTGTTGGCATCGTCGAGATTGTCATTGAAATCCAATTTTCATTTTCTTCTAAACTGTTTAAGCCATTCTTCTATATTCTCATGTGGCCCATATAAATTTGATCAATGTATGACCAATAGTTTGAGTTATTTTTAATAATTTATATTGATGTTGGTTGTACAAAATGTTACATTTTAAATTATTTATCTTGATCCTTGTGTCTTCCGCTAAAACATTGTTTTTAGGCCTGAACCCGTGATTGCCCTGTTTAGTAGACTTCTAAAAATGGCTCTAAAAAACTGAATGTAAAGTGAATTATAAAATGAAGAATAAAATTTGAAATTACATCTAACAGACACTGAAAGTATAAAGATTTATTTAAGATACAAATATCAGACACTCCGTGAATATATTAATTATGCTGACGTGACCACCAAAATCAGATGTATAATTTAGTTTAATTATCTTGAAAACTCACTCACTTTACACTTTTCGTTTTTTATAATGTTTAGTATATAGTGTGTTTTATAATGTGAGAATCTTTTACTAATTATGAAAAGCATTATTTTACTCTATCTTTTAGAAATAATTATACATATCGACGGTGGGAAGGAAAAACCCTTGAAGCGACAATTTTGAAATTGTGCAGTAGAGCCGATCAAAGTTTTAATTTTCCGAAAAAAAAATTATAAAAAATTTAAATTTGAAGTTAGAGCGACAAGATAAAAAACAGTTTCTTTATTTTTTATTTACTGTCCACTATTAAACTTAGAAAAATATGCTAGCATAATGAAAGCATTTACGTGTCGCTTAATTATTTTTTGGCAAATATAGCGGAAGGAAAAACACATTAAATGCCAATTCAGTACTTTGACAAAGGCTAGGAAAATCACATGAAGTGACAAGCTATGCATGATATAACTAGGAGGAAAAACAACTTAAGACGATCGAGCATAAGATACATAGTTGTGGAAAAACGAATTAACTAACAAAACCCTAATATGCTAAGTAGAGGAAAAACACGATATGCATTAGCTATCTAATAATTCAATGTTGTATTTTTAACTCAAGTCCCTACTTTGTTTCCCAAGGATACCAAAAAAGAGGAATATAGAGATAAAACAGTGCCTTTTATTGTTTTAAACGCTTACTGGTACAACATTTTACACCGAAAAACCCCATTCCAATGGGAAAACAAACATGAAGTGAAGTGTAAGAACATTACTATCTTCATGAGTGATTAAACAATATTATAAACAAGGAACACAGCGTACCGTTTCTGTATTGCAAACATACATTGATCTTATAAACCTAACTTTCACTATTAGAGACTTTAACAGCCATAAATTCTATATCAAAATATTTCAAATTACTACCTATTTCAGTCTTGTCTTAGTCAACGTTGCTAGCACTAAGTATACCTAAGTAAAATTGTGAAAACAAAACAATTAGGCATTTGTTTCTGTATTGCAAACGTACTTTGAACTTATAAACCCAACTTTCAAAAATAGAGATTTTAACAAATATAAATTCTGTATCAAAATATTTCTAATCACTATTAGGCACCTATTTCAGTCTAATGACTTAATCAACATTGTTAGCACTATAAGTAAAATCTAAAAAAACAAGCATAATTAAATGATTAATAGGAACATTAAAATCACATACTCATACTATCAAATTTAAGGTTCGATGTTGCTTCTTGTACTATAAATCAATAGCATCCTCAATATCTGTTTCTGCTAACGTATCAATACCAACGACGTGAGGTATAATAACACATTCGTTGTGAAACAGTCTTGGTATGAAAAAACTCTCACAAAGTTTTATCAAATATTCATATTAACAGTAACTGGATAAAGACTTCTCGTAAAACTGTTTCACAATTTGTGAAGTTGGAGCTTTGTTTATAGATATAACTTCTTCTTCAGCATCAGGTAACATAAAGTATTTAACTGCCGTCACGTTGAGATTTGAATTTTATGAACGGCGGCCAGTACAATTCTATTTTTGTTTTGACCAGGGCAGGAATCCGAATACAGTATTAGATGTTTTACTGTGCCACGTTCTTCCATCAATTGTATGTATTTTTGTATAATAGAACTTATTTCATTGCCTCCTCTCTTACCTTCAGATTCTTCCCATATGTAACAGAAACCGTCTCTTGTACCATTTTCATAAAAGCAAACACTGTACATGGCATATTTTTGTGAATAGTACAAGAGCATACTCTCACCATGTGGAGTATTTAAAACCTTTTGCAGGTCGAATGACACACATACTACATCATTGCGCTTTTGGGCGAGTTCTCGATGTTGACTGTACCTCTCTTTACTGGTTTCTTTTTCTTTCAGATGTTCCTCTTTCTGCGTTTTACTCTCTTCAGTATTTAAAGTATCAAATTTCATACATTTTATGCATTTAAACTTTTTGGGAACGCGAAATCCGATATCAAATTCACTCTTGAAAATATTTAAAAAGACTTTCTCCCTGCCCACGTCGACACATTCTGAAGTTTTCTGATCCTTGTAAATGCGATATAATTTTTTTTGGTTTTTAAATTCAACGGGTAAGTAAAGTTTCTTGAAGGTCCGTAAGTCGTATCGGTCCGGAAAAATCGCTGATGGTAATCGATTCCACAAGGAAGACGTCCGAGGAAGAAAACATCTTCTAAATCGCACAGTGGTGGACCGCCGATCATCCAGATGGTGTGGATGGTATTGGGAGTTCTGCCGCGATGTGCGTTTGTGAAATTGGCGGCTGGGATTAATCCGAACAATTCCTCAGAGCACTCCCCGTGGTAGATGCGAAAGAAAATGCAAAGGCATGCAGCATCTCTTCGCAGTGCCAATGAATCGAGGCGATCGGAAAGGACTCAGTTGTTGATGATTCGAGCCGCTCTGCGCTGGATGTGGTCAAGTGAAAGGAGTTGGCACTGGGGAGCCCCTGCCCAGAGATGGGAACAGTATTTTCTACGTGGTAGAGCCATGCTGCAGCTATATCATGGTTGTAGCACGAATGGGTCGGCTCGACCGGGGAAGGACCACGCTCTCACAGAAAACCAGCGTAAAATAGCAGCTTAACGCTGCTGTGTTTCGTATGGTGAGTGCAGAGAACCGGACACCCTTTTTACTGGCAAAGAGGCATTCCATCTTAGTCCTCACGGGTGACAACGCATCTGCATCTTGAGTCTTTATTGAGGATAGATGTAGATGTCTATGGGCCACAGTAACCACTTACCATCAGGTGGACTGTGTACTCGTTTGTCACCCGATCCTATAAAAAAAAGTATTCCATGTGCAGCCGAACCTGCGCCTTGTAAAGTTGCAGAAGGTGTGCCGGCATGTAATACTGTCCCGCTCTGCTGAGCACACCAAGCTTTTTAGAGGCCGATTTTGGCCTTCTCTTCCAAGTGACCACGAATCTGCACGTCACTCCATATGTCGACTCCGAGGATTCCGATACTGGCTGAGGTAAGAAGGGGAGTGCCTTGAAATTGATAACACGAAAATTTACGTATTTACAGGTACTTACCTTTACTAAAACACGCATTCTCTGTGTGCCTCGACGGCAGTTCACCGATGAATGAAGCGCCACGTCACAATTATTTCCTAATATTGGTGACGTCACTTACACAAAAGAGACCGAAATTCATTGCTTGTAGCGACAAGACTTGTTTTGAATAGTTAACTTAAATACACAATATCGTAAACAATGCTTACTTTAACCGACTATCGTCTTCATTTATGAAGTTAGAGAAATTAAATGAACCGACGTTTCGGGAATAAAAGACTATGTCAGTTAATTTAAATATTTATGTAGTTTTTATGTGTATGTTTACTTTTACCGACAACACTGCTTTTTAAAGCGATTGCCAAAACAACTGAAATCCATAATATACTATAATAATAATGTAGGAAAAACACATTAACTCCATCATACAGATATAAGGTAAGGAAGGAAAAACGAATGTAGCGACTGAGCACCAACGGAATAGGAGTAAGCAAAACACATGTAGTGTTTAAAATAAAATTTCCTATGACGGAGAAAAACGATTTAAGTAACCTATAATATCCGAAACAAAAAAGGAAAAACACATTAAATAATAATCTAACTATGAAGTCGGTACTTCAAGCGGTAAATGGACCAAAATTGCTTTAATTCTTTGTCACTTCATTTAGCGTCTAAAAAAATTGAGCCTAAATGTGTCATTACTTTAAGCGACACCAAAGTGGTCGGATCACCACGAAACTAAGACCAATAGACGCAGAAAAAATCGCTGATTTCAAATATGTATATAACTCATTTTCAACCAAAGTGTCGCTTCAAGTGTTTTTCCTTTCCACCGTCGATATAGTTTCTTTTTATTAAGAAATGAAAAAATAATTGCTCTTTATCACTTAATTTATTACAATTCTTAAATGAAATGAAATTTAATTAAAGAAAATACCTAGCTGTTTTGATATTTTGTAATTATTTTTTTGGCAATGATAAAGATGAAGTAGATAAAGCATACATTTAAAATTCAAGTATGTTTCATAATATTTTTTTAAAGTATTCAACCTGCACCAACCCACAGGAAAAAAGCATCAGTTTTATAATGACATTATAGAGCTTACCTGAGATCTTTTGTAATGTAATCTACTAAAATGGTAAATAAAAATAAATGTACCATTTTAGCAGACTTATATAATCCATCCAAAGATTAAAAAGTAAGCTATAAAGAACTAAAAACGTTGATGTTGTGATATATTGATAACTAAGCATAATGAAATCGCGTCGGACTTACCTCAAAACAAAATTGTACAACCAGTGTGTGTTGCCAGTGATGACTTACGGATCTGAGACGTGGTCCTTCACTGCTGGCCGTATGAGGAAGCTCAAGGTCGCTCAGCGAGCTATGGAGAGGGCTATGCTCGGGGTTTCTCTGTGTGATAACTTAAAATGAGGATATCCACAGCAGAACCAGAGTAACCGACATAGCCCAACGGATTAGTAAGCTAAAGTGGCAGTGGGCCGGCCATAATGCTCAAAGAATCGACAACCGATGGGGAAGAAAGGTTCTTGAGTGGGCAGCCTCGTACCGGTAGGCGAAGTGTAGGGCGACCCACGAGATGGAGTGACAAGCTGGTAAGACATGCAGGAAGTCGATGGATGCAGGTGGCTCAGGACTGTGCTTTGTGGCATTCCTTGGGGGAGGCCTATGTTCAACAGTGGACTTATGAAAGGCTGTAATGATGATGAAGCATAATGAAATAACTTCACATTTTAAGTAGGTGTTTCAAAGTATAGAAGAATTAAAGCCTCAACCTCTTTTTCTTTAAAAAAAATTTTTTGTATTCTTTGAGTGGACTAAAGAATATCGCTGTCTCAGTGTTGTTTAAATACGTACATTAAAAACTCCATCCCCTATTTAGCCAATCCCAGTTTTGGATTTTTTTTAACTATATTATGAAAAAGGAACCATTAAAATCGGTCCTCAATTTACGAAAATATCGCGTAATATACGTAAAAAAAATCCAGTCTATTTAATAACCTCCACCCCCTTTAAAGTTACATAAAATTAAAATTTAGTTAATTACCTTACCATCTAAACATGATTAGTATGTAACAAAGCTAAAGCTAAACATATAATAAAAATATAAATTATAGGTGTCTGTAATTATATTATGTGATATTTGTATATCATACTAATTTACGTCCAACCAAATTACTGCTTCCAGAGTTATCTGTGAGCAGTGTCCGAAATTGGACAAAATAATTATTGCAATAAATCTATTGAATCTCCAAATCATTCTAGTTTTAGAGAATAGATTATAATTGCAACAAAACTGTGCATATAAACTGGTGGAAATTTATCATCGTATTTTTTGAATTCAGTATTAATTTTAATTTACTTTTGTAACAGATTGAAACCATCTACAAAAAAGCGCATGAAGCAATACGTGCTGATCCATCTCATAAGAAGAAGGAAGCTAAGAAGGAGATTGTTAAGCAGAAGAGGTGGAACAAGCGCAAGTTGACCCTGGCAGAAAGGAAGAACAGGATCAAGCAAAAGAAGGAGTCCTATATCAAGAAACTGCAGGCACAGGCAGAAGCTTAATGACTTCATCAATATTAAACCGTTTCACTCAGAAATATTATGTTTCATTTTGTAGTTAAACAAAAAAGCCATAAGTTTATGATAAATTATCCCTTTCTAAAATTAGAAATAATAGTACATTTTGGAAAATAAAATTAGTTTCAGAGTCACATAAAGCAATGAAACATAATGCTGTTACAATTCCTCCATACTTATAATATGTCCCAGTAAAAAAATTACACATTAGTTTAATGTGTAATTTTTATAGGTTTAAGAGAGCCAGTGAGCGGCAGACTACGGTATTTCAATAAAAATTATGTAATAATCAATATTGAATAAAAAATTATTCTATTATCATCTAGTGAGGATCGCCTGAACCTCTATATCCACCGCCGGTTAACCTAAAGATTCTTTTCATGTACCCTCAGGTATAGGGATTATCTGAAAAAAAAAACGTAAAGCTTTTTGAAATACCGTTAAGTCTGCCGCTCACTGGCTCTTAAACTATTACATGATATCACCAACGTTGATTAATTATGCAAACCAACCGGCAACAGTGCAGCCTCTCTGTAACATGATCTTTGCTTATAGTAGAAGAAGAACTACTCCAAACAGAACCACTGCTTTGATCGAGATATAGTCTGTTCAGCTAAGATAGTGTCGGTACACCCACCCGAAGGCGCACTTATTATTTTGCTCTTATTTTATTCTTAAGGTGGCACAAGTCGCGGGCTCGAACTCGCTGGTGGGCGCGGCCAAAAAGCACGCTGTCTCACCTGGCATCGTGCCCGACAGAGATAGTATCAGTGATGAGCATATCGACACTAGTATTCACGCACGTCTTGTTCGTACGGCATTCAGAACCGTTTGAACAAAAACGAAGTTACACGAACACGATGCAACATTTATACTAATATAATAAAGCAGAAAATATAGATCTTTACTCCGTCTAAAAAAAAGTCCGCGATACCATATGTCTATTTTTTATATACTCGTATAAGCCACAATTAGGCATTTTTATTTTGACAAAAAAAAAATGAAAATTTAATTATTAGGCATGGCATATTTATCCTTACGAACGAAAGTTACTTCATTATCAAGACAATTTTTTGAAGATAAACTTCGTTGTTTATGCCATGTTTATATAGTACATAGTTGAGATAATGTAAAATTAAAATAATTCAATACTTGGCCTTGACGCGCAAACAACGCATAACCCCTAGCCCGGTGCGAACTGAGAAGCCAGTATTGAAAGCTTCTATGAGCGAGGTTAGGTTAGCCGTTAGTTCAATCATTATCTATATCTACACAAATAAATAAAATTGAAGTGTCTGTTATAATGTCAAAATAACAGCTTTTTACTAATTGCATATGAAATTATATACGCTACTTATAACACAATTTTTAACATTTTTCTGTCTGTCTGTCTGTTTGTTCCGGTTAATTTCCAAAACGGCTGGACCGATTTTGACGGGACTTTCACTAGTAGATAGCTCATGTTATAAGTAGTAACTTAGAATGCTTAAATTTTAGAAAAATTATTAGGCGTCCGTGCAACAAAATTAACACCCTAAACTAAATGCGGACGAAGTCGCGGGGAACAGCTGGTAGCTAAAATAAATTCAAAATTAATTGAGTGCTTTTATCTATCTCCCAGGTGAGCGTAACAATGATTAGTTAATTCTGAACTCTTTCATTTCACGTTGCTATGGTATTTTGAAAGTTTAATTGATTAATAAGTTTTTATTTTATTTATTTCTTTAAAAAAAAGACGTTACCCCCACACTAGGATTTTCTCGTGTATCGTGGAGGCAGTTTACAAACACAAATTGCACAAGGACAAACATCCAGACCCGGAACAATTATTTGTAGGCCATACAAATACAAATACTTGATCCGTGCGGGATTCGAACCCGCGGCCCCCTGCTCAGCAACTCATTGCTAAGACACTGCGCCACGGAGCCGTATAAGAGTATAAGAGGTTGATAGCAAATGTATCAAGAATCATTTCTTGCCTACACACTTTTCATGTATCGTGTACGTTTTTCTTTAAAACTGAATAAAACCGCGCATAGTATGCCGACAGATAAAATAAAAGTACTTCATTAATTATGACAATTTTTCCATACATTATTATCAAATAAAATATTTGATTGCAATTATAAAACTAGGTGTCATGTCATGCCATGCATCTCGGACACATGATGACGCGGGTGAAACCGCGAAATGATTAGGCGCTGCTTTATCGCTTCATATTATACCTCTGTGGCTCTATATACCTAATATAGATTGCTTATTTTATTATGTTTAGTTTTTCCGAGTGGTTATGCAGCGATCACTCAAGAGTTCGGCTTCGAACGTGTGTAACTGCAAAAATTATCCCACGGGAACGAAATATTTTATATTACTGGGAGCCGCGGGTTCGAATCCCGCACGGAACAAGTATTTGTATGGCCTACAAATAATTCTTCCGGGTCTGGATGTTTGTCCTTGTGCAATTTATGTTTGTAAACTGCCTCCACGATACAGGAGAAACTCCTAGTGTGGGTGTAACGTTTTTTAAATAAGAAAAAAAAAATTTGTATGGCCTACAAATAGTTGTTCCGGGTCTGGATGTTTGTAAACTGCTTCCACTATACAGGAGAAAATGCTAGTGCGGGGGTAATGTATTTTTAAAAAATAAAATAAAATAAAATTCCAGACTATAACCTATCTCTGAGCAAAATATCATCCAGGTCCCTTCAGCGGTTCTGGCGTGATTGAATAACATACATCCTTTCATTCGTCCATCCAAATATCCAAACTTTCGCATTTATAATATTTAGATAATAATTGTAATTAGTTCTGCTTACCTATAAATTTTTTTCAAAAATACTTACCTGTCTTCTTACTTTTTTTTATATATACTCAATATCACTAAACGTAAACACAGGTTTTTATCAAGACAAGTGACCCATCAAGATTGTTTTCTTAGTACTGACGTACCTACCTAAAGTTTACAATTTTGTGGCCACGACGCGGTGACGTTTTGTGACATTTTGTTGTATTGTAGGTTGTAGGTATCTAGGTAATAACAGTAGGTACCTATGAAAATCCCACATAATATACCTTGTTTGTCCGCCGCAAGAGTCGTCTAATAAATAATTAAACTGTTTTGTAATTCTTTATTTATTTATAACACTTGCATTGAGAGCCGTGGTAGCTCAGATGGTTATCGTTCGCCGTAAGTATCACACTACGCGAGCAACCCGGGTTCGATCCCCGTCGGCACCAATGAAATTGTTGCAATTTTATATAGTAATCGTATATTATAGACTTAATTTTTTTTCTTTTATAATTATATTATATTACAGACGAAAATTGAAATAAAAAACAAAATTGTCTGTCGTCCAAAACGCATCATCTCTTTCAATTATATCAATTTCCATGCTGTCTTTTGTCTTTGGCGTCCAAATTACAAAATAGCAAAACTTTTCGTTTCGAATAAAACTCGAATAAGCCCGCGTCACCGCCCGTGCATGTGTGTGTAAGCGTCGTCCTCCCGCACCGCACCGGGGCAAACATTATTCAGTGAGATGCACGATAATTCATAGTAACATACGCGCGTAAAAAAATACGAAAAGGCCTTTGGAAGAAGGGGTTTTATGAAAAAACCACTGCATAAATTAATTACGAATAAAATTTCTTGAATTCTTCGATAATTGAGCTGTGTCGGTACCGACTTTGTTTTGGAAATTTCACACTTCTTTTATTACTAATTTACGCCCAAAGTTGTGTTAAAATTGGCAATAAAAACGAATCTTTGGTAGCTCGTAACTTTTTAATAACATTTTATTTTACTATTCTGTTTCCGTACAGACAAATTTGATAATGAGACAAAACGATATCATGTTTAACTTTGGATGTACACTGTCAAACAGCGTAGTAAAACCCCTCCGAAATTTGTATGGAAATCAATGGAAATATTGTCGACTAGTGTCACCTTAAGGTTATTATTCCTTTCAGAACGATAAAAATGTTTTTATTTTCGATTAATTTGTAGATTTATCTGAGGTACAATAAATAATAGTACTACGTACAGAAGTTGCACTCTTGTGATGTTGACTGCTTGCCGACGTTTCAATAGCCTACATAGTTATTATTAATCAGATAAATCGCCCACGCAAGCTAAGGCGCTGTCTCTACGAGCGAGAGAATCGCGGCGATATTATCGTCGTGCCACGTATTTCTATATACTCAATGAACGGCGTCTCAACAGGGCGATTTTATCGCGGCGATGCGACGAGTGGCAATGTATCGTCGCTACTAGCGGCGCGCTCGCCGCGGAACGTGGCGCTCTCGCAGCGAGCGCGCTGTCTAAAAGGCTTATTACATTACACGATTTAGTCCATCGTGTGCCCTGCCTACCAGACAGGGCGCTGCTTATTACACTACGCTAGAAATCGCTTCCTGCCTCAGTTGTTACTCGAACGTGGAAATGATTGCACGTCTAGCATTATGGCGCAGACTTTATCTAAACGTCAAAAAATTGCTTTATTGTTTTTTGACATGGTAGAGCCATGCTACAGCTACATTAGTAGTATAGTTGTAGCACGAAAGGGTCGGCTCGACCGGGGAAGGACCACGCTCTCACAGAATACCAGCGTAAAATAGCAGCTAACACTGCTGTGTTTCGTATGGTGAGTGTAGAGAACCGGAGACCCTTTTTACTGGAAAAGAGGCATTCCATCTCAGTCCTCACGGGTGACAACGCATCTGCATTTTGATTCGCATACGAGGATAAATGTTGGTGTCTATGGGCCACAGCAACCACTTACCATCGGGTGGACTGTGTGCTCGTTTGTCACCCTATGCTATAAAAAAAAACTGGCTGACGGTAACGTGCAAGGCCAAGCTAAAAAAAGGAAGGAAAGTTAAATGTGGATGAAAAAATATTTGCTCCTAACGAAACTATTTTAAAGAGTAGGTGAAAACCAATTCGATGAGTTATTAAGCTTAGTAACGCCTTTAATAGAAAAAAA